AAGTTTGGTATATCTCGTTTCTTTCTAGAATGTTCATGATTTTATCTGTTAGACGTTTATTTTCTGTATCTTTTTCTTTAATGATGTTTTGAAGGTCTTGAATTTGTGCCTTCATTTCTTCCTGGGTTTTCCGGAAGTAGCGGTGCTGCACGTCTATTATTTGATTTAATTTGGTTATAGCGACTAGCATGTCTGCTTTTTCCATATTAGATATGTCTGCTTCCTTATATTTTTTGCCTTCCTCAAGCTCAGGTTCTGAGTCGTCGTCGGAGTGTATCCTCTTCCTTCTGTGTTTTTCTTCGTCGTTGTCATACATTTCTTCGGAGATTTCGGGTAGTTCATAGCGTTGATTTTGGTTATGCGCGTGTCTAACGGCCTCGCGAAGTACGGTTATTTCATTGTCTATTTCTGAATAAGTGTCTGATATTATAGATAAATTATCGACCTGGGGGGAGGGCGACCAGGGTTGGTCGTCATCTTCTTTTTCCAATTCTGACACGTGCGTGTCAGAACTATTCTTTGGGGAGGTTAGCGACATGTTGCCTTACGGCGGTGAACAGAGTTCAAAAGATTGTAGGGTATCTTACTTAGTAGACTCTGTTTTTTTCCACCTCACTGGCCGCTGCCAGTTAGGTTTCTGGGTGTCGTCCCAGGGACCTTTCGCGGTAGTTCTCTCCCTGTATTCACAGGGAGGGATCCTCTTGCAGTTCTCTAATCTCAGGAGAGGGGGCCGTTTCTGTCCGACTTAGCTGCAACTTTCTAAGCCTTACAGTGTCATACCCTTCGCACACTGAGATCACCCGTAGTTTTCTGCAGAAAATACTGCTGCTATTGCATTCCGTGGCGCGCCAATAAATGTAACGTTCCAACGGTTTACAGATAACAACGCTGTCAAAGGCACGTTCGAAATCAACAAAAACCATGTATAGGGATGTGTTACATTCAACGGATTATTCCATTATTACCCTCACAGTATTAATGTGGTCTATGCAGGAGGATTCTGGTCTAAAACCTGCTTGATTAGCTCGAAACTCAACCTTGTTTGTTAATCTTTTCAGTATGATGGTTGTGAAAATTTTATTTATGATAGTAAGCAAGGTTATTCCTCTCCAATTTTTGCACAGTGTGAGGTTGCCTTTTTTGGATGCTTCATAATGTTACCTGTTTTCCAGCCCGCTGGAATGTGGTTTGTTTCCCACACTTCTCGGATTATGGGGAGCAAAAGTCAGCAGTTAGATGCGGATCAGCTTTAAGTATTTCAGCAGCAATGTTATCAATTCCCGGTGACTTGTTGTTTCTCGGAGATTTGATAGCTGTTATTATCTTCGTTTTGGAAGGGGCCTCGCAAGAAATATGCAAGTCTATATTCTGCGGGTTTTCGACAATTTCATCTACGTTATCTCTGGGAATACCTAGCATCTCCTGAAAATGCCCTTTCCATCTCTCTACTTGGTCATCTGTTGTAGTAAGTAATTCGCCTGTCTTGGATCTTACAATGTTCGAACAGTTGGACTCATTTTTTGTTAGTCGTCTAGTAATTTGGTAAAGCTCCCTAGTTCTGTTGTGTTGTGCAGCTGTTTCGCCAGTTCTTCGGCCCACCTTCTTTTGCCTCTTTTTGCTTTTCTTTTAACTGATTTATTTATTGTTTGATATTCCTCTTGTCGGTGTGCTCTTCTTTCTACAGTTCTTGCTTGCAGGATATCTTTTTTTCGTTGTTTTATTTCCTCGATAAGATTCCATGTTTCATCTGATATCCATTCCTTTCTATCTTTCTCTTTTTTACCCAGTTTGTCTTCAGTTATTTCTGTCAAAATATCTGCGAAATCTTCCCAGCTATTTATTTCACGTTCTCTTGTTTTGAGTTGAAGTTCCTCTCGAAACATATGTCTTCCTGGGACCGTTTTTAGTTTATCTAGATTGTATGTTGGTCTCTTGGTGTTTCGCGTGATTTTGTTTTTTGCCATCTTGATTTGGTATCAATTTGGTATGAATGGTACCAATTACGAGATGATAGTCACTTGCGATGTCTGCTCCTCTTTTATTACGTACATCAAGAAGAGATGATCTCCATCTTTTTGATATAGCGATGTGGTCTATTTGATTTTCTCTTGTATGACCAGATGCAGTCCATGTTACCTTGTGAATATTTTTATGTGGAAAGATCGTTCCACCAATATCTAAACTATGACTGGAACAAAAATTTGTAAAGCGCTCTCCGTTTTCATTCATCACTTCTAGGCCATGTTTGCCCATTACGGTTTCTAAGTTAATATTGTCTTCTCCAACTTTAGCGTTCATATCGCCCATCACTATTAGTATATCATTTTGGTTTACTTGTTGGGTCGTTTGTTCTAGTTGTTCGTAGAAAATGTGTTTTTCTTTGTGGAGAGATGTGTTTGTGGGAGCATAGCATTGAATCACTTATCTTACGGTATCTGGTATAAAATCTGGCAGTCATAATTCTATCATTCATGGGTTTCCATGAAATAAGGCTTTTAATATTAACAGTAAGTACACTTAGTTTTAAGACTATTACAACACACTTAAATATATAAGAAAACATTTTAATACAAAACTATATATTCTAAATTTTAAACTTACCTCTTTTAGAGCATTAATAGTAAAAACATCCCGCCATTATTTCTTGTTCAAAATAATCTCTTATATGAAAGCTTATCAGCTTTCTGAAGACTATTTAGTTGTCTTGGCATAGCACAATCACAATATACAACAATAGTTAGTTTTTAAAGCTATTAATCTAAATGTAATATGTGTTTATAAATACAATTTATTAATATATAATATATTATGATAAAATTGTGTAACAAATCAAAACAAACAAAATTCTCACTCTAAAAAAGCGGCAACACTTTAAACAATTTTGTCACACGCTGAACTGACATTGAAATTAGAAGTATTCCCGTATCAGTTGCGTACAACTAAAATTATTATTTTGTGGAATATTAGACTTAAAGAGTTATTTTATAAAATTATTATTAATGTTATTAACAAATGTTTTTGCTTATTCAATCAATATAATTCTAAAATTCCCAATATAATCATGATTACATCATCATCATCACTGGCTCGACAACCCTTTTTGGGTCTTGGCCTGTTCAAGGATTCTTCTCCATTCTGACCTGTTTCGTGCTTTTTTTTTCCAGTTTTTAATTTTTAATGTTGTTATATCATTTTCTATTTGTTCTACGTATCTCAGCTTCGGTCTTCCTCTTGTTCTTTTTCCTACTGGCACTTGTTTGAATATTTTGTTTGGTATTTCGCCTTCTTCCATTCTTTCCACATGTCCAATCCAACGTAGCCTTCCTATTTTAATGAATGTTATGATATCCGGATCCTGGTATATGTTGTATAGTTCAAAGTTATACCTTCTCCGCCAAATCCCGTTTTCTTTTGTGCCCTTATATATGTGTCGCAAGATTTTTCTTTCAAAGGTGACTAATAACGTTTCCTCCCTTTTAGAGAGTGTCCAGGTTTCTGAACCGTATGTGAGTAATCATGATTACATTTTCTGATAATTATACCATGTTGGCGCCTATGAAAGATCGAGCAGTTGCATTCAATGGTGGTTTAAGGGGCCAGTCTATAAAAGGCATAGATTGTACTGATCTCACGAGAATCATAAAAAATAGCTAAAATCGCGTCGCGTTTATTTATTTAACACCTTTATAAAAACTGAGATTATTTGCGGTAAAATACAAAAACAGCATACCAAAGATGAACTCTTTACCTTTAAAACGCATCTTGATTTTTGTCGATAGGACACTTGGATCAAAAGATATCGAATTTGTACGGTCGAGCTGATACAAATTTTAGTAAACATTGACTTCGCGTACGTGACTGACATTCAAAATCGACGGTCGCTTCAAGCGTTGTTTCTGAGAGAATGGTTCATTCTACACAAAAAGTGTTAATAAACATTTTTGTTCAAAATTACCCCAGCTACATTTTTTTGAAACATTTTTTTAACAGTTTTTACCTCCATACGAGAGGGGTTTTGAGGGAAGCCGGGGGTAAAAGTGGAAAGCTTTTTTGCATCTTTTTGGGGTGCTAAAATTAATATTCTCGGCAACATTCAGCTTGTTCGTATGATTTTTAGTGGTCAACTCTCTGACGGCTGGACTATTAGGTTTTATTCATTTTTTTTTCTAAATTTTTCTAACCACTTAAAATTTTAAATTAACAGTTTAGTACCGATCGAAAGTTACCGGTGCGCGGTTCTTGGATTTTTGAAAGTCGTTTATAATGCCTAAAGTACGAAGATGCGCATATTTCCATCAATTGAGCAAGTTTGATAAGGAACGGATAGTTGGCCCAAGGAAGGCCGGATTTCCTTTGTTGAAAATTGCGAGTCGGGTTCACAGAAGTTTAGATACTGCGTTAACATTGTGCAATGAAAAGTTACCGTGGAGGCCTAACATCAAGATCAAGACGCGACGTCGAAGAACAACAGAGCCTCAAGACTGTCGCTTAAGGTTCTAAGAGACCGGATCTCCACTGCCAGGTGATTTACAGAACATGGATGACCAATTGGGAGGTGAACAATATATTATCGAATACGCTAACACTGATGTAACCTCCAACACTATATCACACTTATTGATGGTCATTCAAAGATTAAAATGGACGTGTTTTAAGATTTTTTAAAAAGTAATCTGTTTTTGAAATAATGAATGTATTCCATACTTTTGCATCATACTGTATATTCATGTAAGATCAGGAGACATATTAAACTTAATATAAATTGGAAATTGTTGCACTTATCTTATATAAGGTAGACCAAACTAGACGACCCTTATAAACAAATTGCGTAATTATTCTATTAGCCATTTCTGTAATTAATGTATTTCATACATTTGACTCACACTGTATATCGGATCGAAAACATTATATCCAAATGGAATATTGCATTATGTATACGTAGAAAGTAAAGAATTTTGTATAATTAATATACTTTCAATGCCTTTTTTTTTCAGAACGAAATGGCACCCAAATATAAGCTCATTTACTTCGATGGTACTGCTCTCGGTGAACCAATTAGGTTCCTCCTGAGCTATGGTCAAATAGATTTCGAAGACAAACGTATTGATTTTGACGGCCCTGAGTGGCCTGCTATTAAACCGAGTAAGTCACAAAAACTGTACATATATATATTTTTTTAATCTATTTAGCAAATAATTTAATAACAGTAATAATTCTGCAAGACGTGAATGCTAGCAATGTAGCTGAAGTTGTGGATAAAAGTATCAGAATCCAACGTTAGTATTATATTTGGACTAGAATAGAATAGATTAGAAATATGCTTTATTGTCACTGAAAATTGTACAGTTTTATGGTCAAAGCTTATAAAAGTAAAAAAAAAATAATAAAAAAGTAATAATAACAATAACAATTAAAATTTACTTAAATTACATAAATCGTCAATATCACAGAATAACACATATAAAATACACAATCCATTGCAATATTTCACTATATTGCAAATTGCATAATAAAACCTTACGAATAAGTTAATATATATTGTTACATACTGTTACATGTGATACCCAAATATATATAAAAATACTTTGTTGCTTGTACCTAAACGAACTGTACTTTCTTAATTATTCATTAAGAAACTCTTCCACTGAATAATAAGGTCTTTCAGATAGACAGGCTTTTGTCAATTTTTTGTCAAAGCTTGAATTTCTAGTGGAGTAGTCATTACTAGGTCTTGCTGGAAAAACATGTAGGTGTCGAATTAAGCAAACAGTTTCTAGAATATATATAGAGGGAACAGTTAAAATCTCGTGGTGTTTGAAGTAGCTTTTGCAATTTGTTATTGTACTGAGGCCAAAAAGATATCGTATTGTTTTTTTTTTGTAATTTAAAAATAACAGTCGGTCAGATAGCTCAGCGGGCTGTGCGGCTGCTTCTCATTCGCTTCACTGTCGAATGGTTCAGTGGATGTGGGATCGAGCCCCAGCTCGGTGTACAGAAAACAAAAAGTCTAACGCAGCAGTTTAAAATTCTAGATGAATCTGCGGCTTAGACTAGAATATGCTGGGATCTATTGGTGGGCCAACCTGCGATTTTTGTGTAGCTGTGACAAAATGTGACTGCTCCAGTATTGTCACGGTGACAAAAAGCAGTGATTTTTTGGAGCAGTTTAATCTTAACTGCTACCCTGCTACTATTGCTACCTTTGAATATTCCAAAATATATTTTATTTTATCTTATTTTTTAAGCAAAAGACATGCTTGTTGTTTTTTGTATTTTTGTTTATTATATAGGTTTGTATTATAAAAGTATTATATGTAGTCAGTAGGTTCTTTATCATTATTAGTTTCTGTATTTTTATGTTAAAACAAAACAAAACTTTATTTATAATTAAAATATGTTATACTTTATTATATATCTTTACTATAAAATATTATTATAGACTTAATTATAAAACTTTACTATAGTACTTTATTAAAAAAATATATTTTAGGCAATATTTTTTGTACTGCTTTGTTTTTTTGTACCACTGTTATTTTTATCTTTGGTTATTGTGATTTTCCCTTTAAAAGTTTAAGAAATAAGTAGATATATTGATTTTATTTTATTCCATTCTTATGTTTTTTACCTTATGATAATTTAATATGACAGAAAATAACTTTTAAGGATTTTTAACGGTGCTATTTTCCCACGCTCGACCACGTCGTTCCTTATGTTACAAATAGCAAATAATAGTCACAGTCACCATATGAGAGCGACTGCTCCATTTTGAAAATGCTCCGTCAACAAGGCTTGTCACTGTCGCAAATACGATCTATGGACCAGCGCAACGTCTTGTGTAGCGTACACCGGACCGAAGTGGTGCAGTCACAGTAGAATAAAACGTGACTGAATGTCATTGCTATATTATTCCAGCTGTAGCGGACTGTGACTGTGACAGCGTTGTAGCAGTGACAAAGTAGCAGTTCGTGAAATCGCAACCCACCACTACTGGGATCTGATCGGCCTATGGTGGAGCAGTACGGCAAGAGATAAGGGCTTGCGGCTCGGTGATACTCCTCCATAGATCCCTACCGGACGGGCGTAACGCCTAAAAAACCGGATATATATATATATATATATATATATATATATATATATATTATATATATATATATATATATATATATATATATATATATATTATGTACTAGAACCCCAAAAAGGAAGGCTATATCGAAGATGAGACTCGAACAAAGAAAAGTATGTTATTTTGGAAGATGCTAAATTCATTTCCTTCAAAACAGATCTTATTGCATAGCAGGCTGAGAATAGTTTCTTACTTAACAAATCGATATGAGGGGACCACTTAAGGTTGCTGTCTATAAAAATATCAAGAAATTTTACAGAATCAATTATACGGATCTGGCTGTTATTAAGAAGTAAGGGTTGATGAAATAGGATAATGCTAATGTCTTATTCACGTTAAAAGAAACTAAATTAGAGTCTGACCAGGTTTTTATTTTAAGTAAATCAGAAGTTATAATTGCATGAATAGTTGCAATATTAGAGTTCTTCTAGGTAATACTAGTATCATCAGCAAAAAGAAAAAAATTTCCAAAAATTTAAATCAAAAATTTCCAAAATTTAGTTTTTTTTTTATCAAAATGTCATGATTTACACAATCAAAAAACAGTGGTAGTATAAATTCTATTGTTTAGTGCTTGATAGACCTCATGTAGTACAGAAAACACAGCATCACTGGTACATTTATTAGATAAAAAGCCGAACTGACTTTGTGATAAAATGTTTCCAACGAGAAAGCACATAAGTCGGGCTTTTATAAGTTTCTCAATAATTTTGGATAGGACAGGTAGTAAGACAATAGGTCTATAGTTGCAGACATTAGATTTATCACCACCCTTATGAAGAGGAACAATAATGGCTGTTTTTAGGCACTCTGAAAATATACCTTTTCCAAAAGAATCGTTAATTAGGGAGACAAGCACTTCCAACACATTATTTGTAAGATTTAAGAAAATTCTTATGGATAGTCCATTAGTACTACAGGAAGATTTGCTTTTGATACTACTAATTGTTTGGATCAGTTCAGATTTCTCAACTGGTCTTATAAAGAATGAATTTGAGACATTTTTTGAATTAGGAAGATAGGAAATAGGATCTTGTGACAAAATAGCTAATGTTATAGTTTTACTCACATTAACGAAGTATTCATTTATATTTTCAGGGTTTGGAAGAGAAAATGTTTGAGCTCTGTTTTTACTAACCTCACAGGCTTCTACTGTTGTTATTATCGTTTTGATCTTATAACGTATTTGCATAACTCTGAGTTATTATTGTCTATTGTCTGGTCTAATGCTTTAAATTTTTCTTTGACATATCAATATTTTATCTTGATATTTCTTTTTAAATGTTTCGTTTTGTAGTTTATACTTTCTAGTGTTTATAACTAACAGTTTACTTTTGTTCTCAGCTTCTGTTTTTTCGTCATCTTTCCTATTTTGTATGATTTATTTCTCACGCATTCTCACACTTTCTCAATGCGCCTGCTTAATCCTTCTATCCCTCTGGTCCCTCTGTTCTACGCCGCCTTCTCTTACTCTACCTTATCTTCTTGCTTGCTCCTGGACACTCTGCCTCCATTCGGGTCGCTTTTTTCCTGTTAATTCTTTTCAGCTTTCTTTTTGCATATCTCTGAACTGCTCTCCATCGAGCTGGTAACCTAAACTGTTAACCTTTTTCGTGACTGATTGCACCCTACTTCCTAGCTCTCTTTCAATGTGTCGCATTACACGCATCAATCTCGCTCTCACACTGTGTCGCATGCCGATGCCGTGCTGTGAGTACACAGAGTCCAATATTTGGCAGTACAAGTATTTGTCACTTTCTGCCTGCCCTGACACAATCATGTCCTGTGAGCATCTGCGCCAGGAAGTAATCCAAACGCCGATGCCCGTAGTCCATCCATCTCCTTAGAGATTAGTTATTAGAATATGCGACTTCGTCCACAGCGCCACCCTCATCTTAACTTATTTCTCTTGCCACACCTCTTTTTTATGATTGTCATTGCTTAATAATGATCACTACCTGCTTCGTATCCTCTTTTCACTTTAACGTGTTTTATTGTCTAGCGTCTTATATATTTTTCTACTCATTTCAGAAATACTTATACTTGAGTCTATACTAAAATCACAATCAAGATGCACTAGAAATAAATAAACCAAGACACGTTAAATATTACAAGGAGCACTCTCAAGTCTCAGCGTTTTAACCTTGTTTAAGCTCTAGTGCTTCGTCAAGGATGGGTTTTGTTTGTTTGGGTGCTTATGCATATTTAATATCTAATGCCAGTTTTCGTTCATACGACCTCGGATTCCCAAGACTAGGGGCACCGCCGCTAAAGAAGTGTATCGGAAGAGGGATCGGAGAGGAGTCACCGAAAAAGATCGCATACAGATAACAGACAAAAGAGTGCATAGTTACCACTTATTTCTTATAAATGCTTACTTAAATATTACGTCGATTAGATTGTGTCACAGTAAACTGTTTTATTTGTAGGCTCTTGCCATTAAGTAAAATAATAAAGTGTATTGTGTGCTGTGAAAGCTAATTGCTTTAACGTCAAACTAGACACTTTTCACGTCATAAAAAAGTCTATTTTTTGTGGTAACGTGTATTGTAAAACTCACCAAATTGTATATTAATATTGAAATAAAGTATTAATCAAGGAAACATGTCTTATTACCAGTAAATGTTGTAATCAACTGTATTCTAAGGTGATAGTTTTCTTCAAAATAATTTTTATATTTTTATACAATTTCCAGCCACTCCTTTCGGCCAAGTACCACTTTTGGAACATGATGGAAAAGTGGCTCATCAGTCAGCTGCCATCAGCCGTTATCTCGCTAAGCAAGTAAAACTGGTAGGAAGCAACGATTGGGAAGACTTGGAAATCGATGCTGCTGTTGATACTATAAATGACTTACGCGCAAGTAAGTGAATTATACAGTGCGTTAAGTTTTGGATTAGGTATACACTCTATAAATGGCAACACTGCGCGTCGTCGACTTGCACTACATATCTGCTTCGTTGACTCGTCGTTGCTCGTCGCCCGTCGGCAAATTTGTCATATTGTCATTATACCGTGGTTGTTTAAAGGTATAACAGCGTAGAGTTTTAATTTATTTTTGTAAACATGTCTGTTTATATGGCCGCGAAAAAAAGCTCAAATAATAAAATGGTTTTATAGTGGCAATTCTGCGCAACAGTGTGTAGATTTATTTTCTGTGTTTTTTGAGGGAAGACCAATTCCTTGTGTACAGTCAATTTATAATATTGTTAAAAATTGTAAGAGTTGTTATTGCCTCAAAAATTGCAGAAAATGTCACGCTCAAGAAGTGTTACCAGAAAAAGTTGAGGAAAGAGAATACCGGGATACACAAATTTTTGCAACAATCGAGGTAGATTCAACACGTTCAAGTAGAAGCGTTGCTAGAGAGTTAGATGTTATTAGCAATGTTACTGTACCGAAAGTATGGAAAAAGCATGGTTACAAGAATTTTAAATATTCGAAAACGCAGCAGCTTTATCCAGACGATTACTTTCGAAGAATGGAGTTTTGTGAAACTCTAATAACGAAGGCTAATAGTGAACCAAATTTTATTAAAAACGTTTTATTCACTGATGAATCTTCTGTTTCGTTAGTAGGGAGACACAATCCTTCCATTACGAGGTATTGGGCGCGGGAAAACCAGCACAGAAGTGTTTACCGAACTCAACGTCCTCAAAAAGTTAACGTCTGGACTGGCATTTTATGGGACCACATAATAGGTCCATTTTTTATTGAGGGCAACTTGAATAGTACAGTATACCTCGATTTGTTACAGAATCATGTTCTTCCCGCTATTCTCAATCTTCCTGATGTAAATCTGGAGTATTTTTGGTTTCATCAAGACGGCTGTTCAGTTCACAACGCTCGAATTATTAGGGAGTATTTAAATAACACTTTCCCGAATCGAGTTATCAGTGGAACAGGCGATATTAAGTGGCCTGCGCGATCTCTAGATCTTACACCCATAAACTTCTTTTTTTGGGGACATTTAAAAAGCATTATCTACGCTCATCCTGAGGCTAGAGCCCAAAATTTGGATGAATTAAAAAATCGAATAAGAGAAGTCTCCAATTCTGTTACAGCAGAAACTCTTTCATCTGTTCGCAGAAGTTTTTATGACAGATTGGGGTACTGTTCAGCCGTAGAAGGTCAACTATTTGAACCATTTCTGTACGTCATAAAGAATTATTTTTTATTTTATTAGGAATAATATATTAATTTTCAATAAGAGTATTTTTATTTTACCTTTTTAAAGAAATACGCTTTTATCTTTAATTCAACCACAAAAAAATTTTCACATTAATAAAAATCGATAACAATGCACCGATTATTCAGTGCATTTTATCGAATTTCCTACTATTAAAATCGGCTATACGTAATGAAACATGAGATCGGACGACAGAGAAGTACATTCCAAACGTTGTTGTGAGTTACTAAACTAAAATAAATGATTTTCTGTCGGTGTAGATATTGAGATAGTCTCGGGTCGGAGAACGAACATTTGCAACGTTGCCGATTTTAGCGCTCCGTATAGTGTGCAATACCTAATCAAAAACTTAGTGTTATAGGAAACATGCATTTTTTTTTTAATTTTAAAATGTATTTTTTTCGTACCTTATTAAAATTTCTACAATTGAATCTATGGTGGCATAAGTTCTGAGACCGTTAAATTAAAAACTAAAAAACAAAAACACTCTGGAACACAGGGACAACTAACATTTTAAAAGAGTTTTGGTTTATTAGATCACATCACTTTTAAATTACGATTTGTTTTTTTATCTATTTGCTTAGAGGAAGGTAGACGTTTTAGAATTGTTTTTAGAAAAATAATATCCAGGTGGACATCTGCCTAGAGAAATATGAGAAAGAAGAAACACAACTTAGGTTACAAGGTTGTATCTGTTACGTAGACGGGCCTAAAACTGCAGAAGGGTCGGTTGAGAGAAATATTCAATAGTGGAGGAAATTTAAACATTTCTATTTTAACTAGGAGAATATACCTCTGGGAAATACAGGGAAAGTATATCTTGTCAAGCCCATGACAAAATATATTTTAGACGGACATGCGCTGATAGGGCTGAAGTACTGCGGAAAACACGCAGGAATCAGCTCAGAATGATAACAGATTTTCTTACTGGACGTGTACCAGTCAAGGGGCACCTGCGTACAATGGGGTTGTTTTATAACACAACAAACGATGGACAGTGTTTAAGGTATACAAAATGAATGAGGCCGCGCTGATAAGAGTCGGAAGGGATGTGAGAGTGTCCCCGACAGTCTTACTACCACATAAACAAAAAAAATTGTAGAAAAAAAATATAGAGATGATAGCTACTAGAGCTAAACTGGAAATATTGAATAAACAAAACTAAGAAAAATAATAAACAATTTGCCAAAAAGTGCGCCACCCAATTCTTTTTTTAGCTTCTTAGAATTGTAAAAAAGAAGACTAGGTATATAAACGATAAAATAATTAAAACCAAGTTTAATTAAAACGAAATTAAATAAATTTGCATTCACCCTGTATAACAATTCAAAACAAATTATCTATTGTAGTGCCAATTCGAGAATCAATAAATAACTCTTTCACAATGAAATTGATATACTACAGGCTGTATACCATGAATCACGAAATTTTTATTTAAAAATTAAATACGACTAAATCACGAAACTAGAATTCCAAAGATTTCTAATTGACAAACTAAAATCCAGATTTTTGCTTTTATCTAGGCCTTCTAAGAATTGCAAGGTAAAACAGACGTTGATAAAGATGTAAATAGAGAAATAGGTAATCTAAAATTGCATTCCACAACATATTTCCTCAACTAAGCAAAAATCCTTGGTGAATTGGTTTCTCGTACTCATAAAGAGTATATCCAAATAAAAGGAAAGACTGTTAAGATTTTATTTTACGTATAGTGAATCTGTACATTCGCTTATAAGTATTTCATCCTAAAAGGAATCTTCGGAGCAACTATTTACAGGTGCTCTGACGCAATTCTTAGAAGGCACGTATTAAAGCAAAAATCTGGATTTTGGTTTCGTCAATTAGAAATCTTCGGATTTCTAGTTTCGTGATTTATTATCTGATGTTGCTATTACGTCTATACCGAAATTCATAGAAAAGTAAACATATTACTCTCTTTTAAATAAGAAAAATAAAAATTTGCGAAAGTTAATACAAACATAAGAAATATTATTTCATTTTGAATTTTCTCTTCATGGTGTAGGTAAGCAGTGGATCAAAGAAGCATGCATATCAATTAAGATGTTGTAGTTTCGTACTTTCAAATCTGTTACAAGATACATGATTCAGTAAAGCATAGTAATCATCAATAATCCTACTTACTTCTCCATAAGTCCTATTCAGGTGTCCATAAGTCCTCCAGAAGGAACATCAACTAGAATGAAGACAAACAGAGTAGTCCAATATTTGAAAGAAAATATTAACTTTTTTTCCTTCTACTCATCTGACGGACATCTTCGGGAAATACAATACGTTCTGTGGTCAGAAACAGAATGGAACGCGATTTTGTTGAAAATACGAAATTCTAGAAGAAATATTTCTCGACTTCGGTAACGTACAGAACCACAATCAGGGGTATTTCACACAAAATATTTTACAAACCAATATTTGTAAGCATTATCTTGAAGTCGTTTCATCACCTGTAAAACGAAGGTTGCCAATTTTGACACACACTAAATTTACATGCTGTACTTTATCGAATGCCTTTTCGAAGTCCACAAAACATGCAAATACATCTTTTCTTTGGTCACGGCATTTTTGTAATAGGATGTTAATCGCAAAAAGTGCCTCCCTGGTTCCCATAGCATTTCTAAAACTAAATTGGGTATTTTCAAGATCTTCTTCGCATTTGCGTCTAATTCTGTTGTGAAGTATTCTGAGGAAAATTTTAAGAGTGTGGCTCATTAGGCTAATTAATCGATATTCTGAGCATTTTCTCGCATTGTGTTTTTTAGGTATTGCGATAAAGATGAATTTGAGCCAATCTGCGGGAATCACTCCGGTGTTATATATTGAATTAACAAGTCTTACTACTACTTTTATGTTATCATTCTCTATCAGTTTCAGCAACTCAGTTGGTGTATCATCTGAACCACAAGCTTTTCTAATTTTAGCATTATTTATAGCATGTTTTACTTCGAATTTCATAATTTCTGGGCCGTCAGTACAGTTTTGGTAGAATTCGGCAATATTATTCCTGTCATCTTCAAAAAACTCTGATATATACATCTGCCATTCTTTTCTTATTTCTTGCTCATTTACAATAATTTTGTTATTAGTGTCAACAAGTACAGCGGGAACTCGTTTTTTAAATGTATTACTCATTTCTTTCAGTTTTTTGTGCATATTAAATAAGTCGTGTTTTGATATTACGTCCTCCATTTGGTCGCACCTTTCTCTCACCCATTTTTCTTTGGCTAATTTGATCTCCTTTTTTATTCTGCTCTGCAGGTGTCTATACTCTGTTACATTAGATTTTATCAGTCGACGTTGTTCCATTAATTTCAAGATGTCGTCTGTCATCCTGTTATTTTTCTTGATTAAGTTTTTTCTATAATCATTGTTTGTGGAGATTTCGTTAACTTGGTTTTTAAATTCACTCCATAGTTCTTCTGGATCTTCTAGTTGTTCTCCAATGTTTTTTATTCTATTGTTAAGTTCTGTTTTAATGTTATGTTTTATGTTTATATCGTCAAAGTTAAGTACATTGGTTTTTGGTTTTTGTCCCTGAATTCGTTGTAACCTTAGTTTAATATCTGCTACGAGTGGTGGATGATCAGATCCAATATCTGCACCAGGATATGTGGTGACTTTTTTGACGGCATTTCGGAAACGCTCATTTACAAGTATATAGT